GCTGTCCCCAAGGTTTCCCTGTCCCCTTGTCCTCGCTGTCCCCAAGGTCACTGTCCCCTTGTCCTCGCTGTCCCCTTGTCCTCGCTGTCCCCAAGCTCTCGCTGTCCCCTTGTCCTCGCCCAGCGTTTCCCGTGTGTCCCTGCAGATGCGGCGACAGACGGAGGCGCGGGTGGTGTCACAGCTGGATCGGCCACATCTGGACCGGCCACAGCTGGATCTGCCCTCGATGCCACGGCCGCGGCCACGCTTGGCGTCACGGTGGGTGCCACCATAGAAGCCACCGCGGGAGCCACCGCTGTGTCCCTGGCCGCTGTCACGGCCGGCGCCACAGCTGGAGCCACAGCTGGCGCCACAGCTGGCGCCACAGCTGGAGCCACAGCTGGCACCACAGCCCAGCCCCTGGCACTGGTCAAGCGCCAGGCCCCGGCCGAGGACCCGCCCGGCTGTGTCCTGTACCGCTACGGCACCTTCGCCACCCAGCTGGACATCGTCCGTGAGTCCGGGGGTCCCGGGGGTCCCGGGGCGGTCCCGGGGCGGTCCCGAGGAGCCCAACCGGGGGTCCCCAACCCCGCCGACCCCTCCTCGCTCCCCGCAGAGGGCATCGAGAGTGTGGCCATCGTGCAGGTGGTGCCCGAGGGCGGCGGCAGCAGCGTGGAGCTGACGGTGACGTGCGAGGGCGGGTGAGTGGCGGCCCCGGTGGCGGCCCCGGCGGCGGCCCCGGCGGCGGCAGAGCCGGGCGCGGGTGTCTCCGGTGCTGACGGGGCGCGCCCGCAGGGTGCCCGAGGAGGTGTGCACGGTGGTGGCGGACGCCGAGTGTCGCACGGCGGAGGCGGAGTCGTGCTCGCCGGTGTCGCCGTCGCTCGGCTGCGAGCTGGTGCTGCGGCAGGACTTCAACCGCTCCGGCCTCTTCTGCCTCAACGTGTCCCTGGCCAACGGCAACGGGCTGGCCGTGGCCACCACGCGCGTGGCCGTGGGAGGTGCGACACGGGGACGGCGTCCCCAAAGTCCCCCGGGTGGCACTGAGCTGTCCCTGCCCTGCTGGAGGTGACAGGGACACGGGGACGGCGTCCCTAAAGTCCCCTGGGTGGCACTGAGCTGTCTCTGCCCTGCTGGAGGTGACAGGGACACGGGGACATGTCCCTGGGGATGTCCCCAAGGTCCCTTTGGGTGGCACTGAGCTGTCCCTGCCCTGCCGGAGGTGACGGGGACAGGGTCCCAGGGATGTCCCCAAGGGGTGACACTGAGCTGTCGCTGTCCCCAGGTGCCACCCCGGCCACCGGCCGCACCACGCTGTTCGTGGGGCTCGTGCTGGTGGCGGCTGCCCTGGGCACGGCCGCGTACACCTACAGGTGAGGGGACACTGGGGACATCGGGAACATTGGGGACATCGGGGACAGTGGGGACACTGGGGACATTGGGGACACTGGGGACATCAGGAACACTGGGAACATTGGGGACATTGGGGACATCGGGGACACTGGGGACATCGAGGACACTGGGGACACTGGGGACAGTGGGGACAGTGGGGACATCGGGGACACTGGGGACATCGGGAACATTGGGGACAGTGGGGATACGGGGACAGTGGGGACATCGGGGACAGTGGGGACATTGGGGACACTGGGGACATCGGGGACATCGAGGACACTGGGGACACTGGGGACAGTGGGGACATTGAGGGGACACTGGGGACAGTGGGGACATTGGGGACAGTGGGGACATCGGGGACACTGGGGACATTGAGGACACTGGGGACAGTGGGGACAGTGGGGACAGTGGGGATACCCCACAGGGAGGAGGTGACACCGTGGGGTGGAGGTGACACTGTGGGGTTGGGGACACTCCCTATGGGGTTGGGGACATCAAGGACACTCTCTGTGGGGTTGGGGACATCGGGGACACTCCCTGTGGGGAGGAGGTGACACTGTGGGGTTGGGGACATTCTTTATGGTGTTGGGGACATTGGGGACACCCCACGGGAGGGAGATGACACTGGGGTTGAGGGTGACACTGTGGGGTTGGGGACATCCTTTATGGGGTTGGGGACACTCCCTATGGGGTTGGGGACATTCTTTATGGGGTTGGGGACATCGGGGACACCCCACGGGAGGGAGGTGACACTGTGGGGTTGGGGACATCCTTTATGGGGTTGGGGACATTTTTTATGGGGTTGGGGACATCGGGGACACTCCACAGGGAGGAGGTGACACCATGGGTTGGAGGTGACACCGTGGGGTTGGGGACACTCCCTATGGGGTTGGGGACATCCTTTATGGGGTTGGGGACATCGGGGACACCCCACGGGAGGGAGGTGACACTGTGGGGTTGGGGACATCCTTTATGGGGTTGGGGACATCGGGGACACCCCACGGGGGGCAGGTGACAAGGAGGTGACACCGTGTCCCCCCTCCCCGTGTCGCCCCCACCCCAGACGTGTCAAGGACCCGGCGCTGTCCCCACCGCCCCCCACGCCCCGCGGGTGGCCCCGGGGGTGGCTGTCCCCAAATGTCACCGTCCGGCGGCTGCTGCAGCGCGTCCTGGGGGGGGTCCCGAGCGGCGAGAGCAGCCCCCTCCTCCGGGGCCGCTCCGTTTAGGGACCCCCGCCCCAAAACCGACCCCCCAAAACCCCCCCGGGACACGCGTGGTGGCCTCGGTGACACCGAGATTAAATCCCCGATGTGGCCGCGGGTCCGGCTCCCTCTGTGCTTTTGGGGGGGTCCCGGGGGGTTTTGGGGGGATTTTGGGGAGGTTTTGGGGGTCTCAGGGGATCCGGGTGGGTTTTGGAGGGCTCTGGAGGTGTCCTGGGGGAGTTTTGGGGTGGTTTTGGGGGGCTCTGCGAGGGGTCACTCCTTACTTGGGGGT